CCTCACCCCGACCCAGACGCCAGCCCCCCCCCGAACCTGCCCGGACACCAGCGCCAGGTCGGACACTGGCCCGGACCGGCACCGGCACCGACACCAGCACAGACGCCGGCACTGGTCCTGCCCAGACACCGGCACCGGCACGGACACCAGCATGGGCACTGGCACCCACACAGACACCTCCAACACCCCTGACATGGGCTCAGGCATCGGTACCTGCACAGACACTGACACCAGCACCAGCAGCGACATGGGCACAGGCACCCACATGGCACCAGCCAGCACTGGCATGAACATGTGCACCAGCACAGACTTGGGCACCAGCATCAGCATGGACACGGGCACTGATATTTGCATCTGCATGGACACCTTCAACACCCCTGGCATGGGCATAGGCACTGGTACCCACACAGACACTGACATAGGCACCTGCACAGACACGAGGAGCATGGGCACTGGCATGGACTTGGGCACCAGCATCAGCATGGACATGGGCACTAGCATTGGCACCGACACGGACACCCCAACAGCACTTGGCATGAGAACAGGCACCAGTACTGGCACCAGCCCTGGGCACTGGCATGGGCACACTGGCGTGGGCAGAGATATGGTCACTAGCTGTGGCACTGGCACTGACATGGACACTGCTAACAGCATCAGCACCGGCGCTGACAGCAGCATGGGCACTGAAAACAGCAGTGGCACCGACACCAGCAGCAGCACCAGCATGAGCACTAGCACTAACACCCGCATAGGCATCAATGCTGAGCACAGGCACCAGCATTAACAGCAGCACAGATACCAGCGTGGGCACTGGCACTGGTACCAGCACAGACAGCGGCACGGGCACTACTATCAGCACGGACATCAGCACCAGGTGTGGACACCATGACCAGCATGGGCACAGGCTCTGGCATGGGGTGTGGGCACTGGCACTAACACCAAACACCCTCCTTGCTTCCCTCTAGCAAAAACAAAACAAAACAAAAGCAAACAAACAACAACAACAAAAATCATCGTCAACAACAACAAAAATAAACAAACAAAAAAACCCTAGTATTGATGAAGCCGGGCCCCAGGATCAGCATGGGGACACTGCCCCCAGACATGGGAAGCCTTGGAGGGTGTTCCCAGGCTGCTGCAGATACCTCCAGCATCTCCTCTGCCAGAGGTGGTTCCTCTGGGGTACCATATTCCTGCCACCCCACAGCAGGGCTGAGCTTTTCAGCCCCTCCACTCTAAACGTCTCCACATGCCCACAAAGCTGCCCCTAGCACAGCCCTGCAACTGGCGGGATGGGGCAGCAGGAAAGGGCAATTCCCAGATGGATGCAGCTCAAAGCAAGAGCTGACTCCTGGCAGGGACTTCCACCCATGGGGAAGGGATGCACAGCTGGACATGCGGTCGTTGCTGCTGGTCCTGGGGAAGCAGAAGGGAAAGCAGGAAGGTGGGACAGGACAAAGGGTGGCCTGAAATTGCACTTGGATCATCCAGGGCTTTGAACTACATTTCCCACAGGACTTTGCAAAGGGAACTGCCTTGTCGCACGGGTTATTGCATGAGAAAACTACATTTCCCAGCGCCCTTTGCCAGGGAAAAATGACACAAAAGAGAACTGTGGCCAAGCCCCCATCTGCAGCGCGGAGCTGGGGCTGCACAGCCCGTGTGGAGCAGCGCTCGCACCGGCCCCGCTGCACCGGGCATCCGTGCTGCCAGGTGAGTGGGGACACTGGGCTGCAGAGCGGTGCCATGGGCGCCCACGAAGCTGTCTGGGAAGCTGGGAAGCAGGGAGAGCCCCTGGGCTGCAGAGAGGTGGCCGTGCCCTGGGGGTGCCCGAGAGACTGGCTGCAATGCCGCAAATCTCGGGCACATCCTAGCGCGAATCCTGGGATCCCCTATCTGGTGACCCGGGCTGATTCTGCAGCTCATCCCTGTGTCCCATGCAGGTCTTGCTGAGCTCGCACATCGCCGTATGTGATTAGCAGTGAAAAGTGACTAAGTGACCTCTCTGGAGGGAAAGGGAAGGGAAGAGGGACCCTTGGGGACTTTTTTTGGAGAAGCTGTGGAGTAGTCTGGCAGTTAAACCCTTCAGTAGTTCTAGCCCTGTGTAGCTGGCAGCTCTGTGCCTCAGTTTCCCATCTGGCTGGAAACTGAGAGCAGGTGCACAGCAGAGCATGCACGGTCCGTAACCAATACTGCAGTCTGCTCTTGGCTTTTCCACAGCCCACGATTGGCCTTGCTCAGCCCCAATGTGAAAAGCCTGACTGATATTTTCCCCGTCCCCAAAGCATGACTGATATTTTTTCCTACGTGAGCTTGAAGGGGCAGCATTCCCCCCTTGCCCGGCATCTGTGATCTGTTGCTGTGGACGTTTCCTTGGTGGCTGTGTCAGCAGTGCTGCCGTGTCCTAACCACTTCATCCCTCTTGTTGGCTCTGGGCCAACATTCCCACGTATATGTCACTCCTCACACAGAGGATGTCGCTGTTGTCCCTCTCCAGCTCCTTAGCTTCTTTTCCTTCCAAAACAGTCTGAGTGCCTTGGAAGCGCTGTCTCATTTTGGTTTTCTGTTCCAGATTTGTGTGTTGTAGCCCTGTTTGCAAGAGGCTCTGCTTGCATGTAGCTCAAGCTCTGCATTCTAACCACATCTCAAGTGTAGCAGACCCTGCTGTGGGGTCCCAGCCTGCCCCTCTGAGGTGCAAGACCACGTGGATGGCATTCACTGCCTTGTGCTCTGTGTCTTTTTCTGGTCCCAAACTGGCCCATAACCTGTGTGCAGAAGTAGAGCTTCTATCATTAAGAAAAATGTTTAAGGCAGGACGCACAGGTCAGAGCAGGCCAGGGGCATCCCACCTGCTCGAGGGCTGCCCGGCACATGCCTCCCACCCCAGCTGCTTGCCAGGGCTACGGATCTTGCCAAGAAGGGTCTTTGTAGAGCCCCTTCAATCAGGGTACTAACTGTAATGTGAAGAGCCTCTGTTCCACTGCCCGCCTGCCAATGTCCCCGTGCGACATCTTGCAGCAGCATCACGGAGCGCTGGGTGAGCAGCTGCTGGGCAGGAAGAAAAGGGATCCCAGCTCTGTGTCCAGCCCTCACTTTCATGAGCTCCTTCTGCACTATCTGATTCAACTAGGCCCCCTGCGCCAGCTCTGCAGCAGCTGGGCTTTTCACAGTCTTGTCTCGGGAAGGTCATTGCAGCCCGGGCTGCTCTCATGGTCGCAGCTGCCTTCTCCTTTCCAGCTGAAATTTACTGGTAGCTAATTTGCTTTTGTGTTGACAATATCTTGGATAACTTTTCTTCCTCCTGGATAGTGCCACTGTATATGTCTAGGCCTGCAGTAAGCTAGGCTGGACCTGCCAAGCTCTCCCCATCTCCCCGCAGGACAGATTGCTGTTCTCTTCCAGGCTCCCTTTCCAGGTTTGTGCATCTGTTTTGCAATGTAGGTGTCCTGGACACATGAACATTTCCCGTGTAAACGTTTTGCAACCAATTGCTCTTCTCTTGTTGCTGGAAGTAGGAGACTGCCTGGCCATAGGGTCTTTGTTGTCCCTGGCATGCCCTGCTCAGCTAGTCCATGGAGTGTCCCTCTTCTATCATTTCCGACTGCAGGGGAACCAGTGTGACATTTCTGTGGCTCATCCACACCAGCTTGAGGTCACAGATGTGCAAAACCTCAAGGGTATGCCAGCCATGGCTTACCTGCCAGCTTTGATTAGGTAACCTTGGTATTTAAGAAAAAAAAAGGAGAGGCAGCTTCAGGGCAAGTGAAGCTTCAAGGTGCCCTTGCAAGACAAGGGCGCTGGGCTCTTGTGGCTAGAGAGGAGAGAAGGTGGACTGGGGAACAGGGGTGGGAAGGCTGTAGGATTTCTGTCCTGGGAAAGCACCAGCTCTTCCCTTGCCTCTGCTGTTAACCTCAGACTGCTCTCCAGGAGAAGGAGCTCTACAGCAATTCGGGCATGTTAACGATCCTCAAGGGAAAAGGGCTTTTGTGCTTGCAGGAACACTGCAGGGGACATCTGTGATGCTCAGAGGCTGAGCTCGGAGCGGAGTGTGGCCAGCCAGCAGCAGAAGCAGCAGCCTGCACCTCCAGGAAAGGTGACACTTTGCTCTCCCTTCCCTGCCTGGCTGGCAGCACCCTTCATCTTGGTCCTGTACATGTCCATAGGGCTGGGAAGGGGAATGCTGTCTTTGGGAAGCTCAGGGCTTGGTACCCCACATGTTCCCTGGGAGGAAGCTGGCCCAGATGATGTTTTCCTACCTAC